TTGTGATAGGATAAATAGGGAGAGATTATTTTAACTGATCAGCAAATTCGTAAGAAGAAGATATAAACAGATCACCAGAAGGAAAGACATGAAGAATGGATATTTTATTACAAATAGAAGTTTGTTGAAATATGGAATTCTTCACCATAAATGACCACTGTTGAAGTCAAGTCCACAACAGCATATAAAAAGGGAATTGGATAAATTGAGAAAAGATAAAGTGGATGGGGAAATGTCAGGGGAATTAGACCAGATAGCTGGGGGGGAGCAAGCATCAGCACAGAATCGATGAGCCGAATGATCTCCTGTGAATCTACGTTACTTTTCAGATTTATAAAGTCACAGTGTAACACAATACTGTCATAATAAATAATAAACTTTGTGTTTGATAGAGTGTCTATCATGTCGAAACATCTCAATATGCTTTTTCTCTGTTTTCTGTGATGTGCAGCGGATTTGAAGGCATAGGCACTTGTTGGGTCTTAGGCGTTTATTACAGTTAAAAACTTCCACCATTTTAGAAAGATTTTATTTGTTTAGTTAGTAACGGGAAGTCCTAATGTACAGTTTATGTACAGTAAACTCCTGATAACTCATGACTCCAAGGGAAAACAGCTCAGTGATGAGTTATCCAGAGTGGCGAATTAGGTATATGTATAAATACATAAATGTGACCGGGTTATTGAAAGCATGATGACTTAATTGGCAGTAATAAGTTAAGGAGTTTACTGTGTGTCATGTTTCAGGTCATATATTTCAGCTCAGTCAGTGGGAGATAGACTTCAGCCACTGAGAACACTGGCAAGACAGTCCTTCATCCTTCAGACAGTGGCCTCTGGGTGTATGGTGGCTGATTGGTGTCACCAAGCCCTTGTGTCCTCTAAATTTATATCATTCATGGCCTAAGTGAGATGAGCTAGATAGAGACTGTCATTACCTCCAGGGAAAATCCAACCTTAATTGCAGTACTGTGCAGCTTGAAGGCATTTGAACCAAAGACCAACGCAGAAAAACTTGAGAAGTTCCATTATTGCGGTCAATATGACCACCTCCTGCTGAAAAATAATTTGCAACCTGAATTTACATCCTTTTGCCAAGTGAACCAAGGAAAATAGGCCTGTTCTCTGTCTTCAGCTGCTTTACCCTTAGGAGTAGTTCAGTTGAGACAATGAGAAGTAGTCTTGGAGATCAGAATGACCACGAGCAGATTTCAGTAAAACAAAAACTAAAAGCATGCATTATTTTTGTCGTATGATTTTCAGCTCATGATTATCAGGTCAGTGCGGGTCAACAGGAGAATATGTTCCAGTTCCAGCTGTCAGTAGAATTCTCAAACACATAATTTGTACTGTTCGTAGACTCCTGGATATCACTTCCAGCACTAAAGTAAATGGGGGAGGGGGTACCCTGATTTATGCTTCCTGGGTCCGAAAAATGCAAGGATTATAATTACATTGACTGGAGCTGAAAAGCGTTAACTACATGTGCAGTGCTAATCATTGTTTTTCTGTGTGTGTTTTATTAAACAACCAACTCTTTCAGAATAACAACTTGCATTTATATAGCTCCTTCATTCCAGGATACTGTTAGTGAGTGCTAAATGCAAGTTGTTGTTTTATAATAATATAAAGTGCTGTTGCACTGTTGCGGATCACCTAAGAAGCTTGACAACCCAAGAACATTTAATGACAAGGAAATGGAACCTGAGTTGATCAGCACCGACAGAATTTGTACCACGGATCTCAATCTCTCAGCAGCCTGGCTCCAGCACAATTCTCTTTCAAATTGCACTGCACAGAAATGATTTGTACTATAATTTTAGGACAGTGTATTTTTTTAATCTGAACAATATGAATTAAATCTAATTACACATGTAATGGTGGAGGAACAGTTAAGAGCATAAGCCAAATTCAAACATCTGTTGTGTTTACATATGCTTTTTGTACACTTATGGGGGAATTTGTACTGGCCGCTAAAGCTAATGACAGTGATGCTATGTGTTTAGATTCAGGGAGTCCCACACAAAAATAATAACAATAATAATTATCCTTACAGTTGACAGAGCACCTTATCACGTCATCAAGACGTCTCAAAGCGCTTCACAGGATATACTGTAAATACTCAGTAGCCTTGAGCTCTACTCTATTTACTATTCACTTCATCTTCACCTTTCTACTTTGTTCGAATGGAGGAAGCAAAGTCTCTCCTAGAGGCTTCAACTGAATGTTTTATCGAATGATTGTTTATCGGAGAGGGAGTCACTTCTAGCATTGCTATCCTTGCTTGGCCGCACTGTGAAGAAAATCAGTACAAAAGCTGTATCGTGAACTATCACTATAAACTGCTCACCTCGTGGTGGGATCATCCTGTGTGTCTTTGAGTTGATAGTTTTCAATTGCATCCTCGATAACCCTGTCTGTTTTGAAGTTTATAAATAAAATATAGATGGCAGAGCATTAAGGATGCAATTGTCACCCAAGTCAGTGGGTGAAGTCAGAAATGTAGAACAAATAACAAATGACTGTGGTAAGCAAGGCGAGGAATTGGTTGGGTTTCACATCTGAAGTACTTCCTCCTCAGGCTGCTGCCTGCCATGTCTATTGTTGTGGTGAACTGACCAAGAGAAATGTCATTTGTCATGCCTGCCACAAAACTTTGCTCTTATCACATCCTGAGGCTGAAGCACTTAGGAGAACATTTTGTTTGTTTGCAAATGAATTACCCTGAGTGGTTTTGTCTTGGCATTTGCAGAGCCTAAGCAGCAATGCAGCAAAAACTAAACAGAAATGTAGAAAAACAGCAGAGCTGAACTTTCTATTCTGCAATTGTAAGATTTTAGAATAAATTGAAAGCTTGGCTGAAAATACACAGCTGCTACACTTTACAGAAACGTTTGTGAAGAGCTTTGATATGTTTTGAAAGGATAAGGTTCTATATCAAATGCAATGATTATAATATTTATTATTAGAAATATCTAAAGTAATCTCAATTAGGTATTTTTGAGTGACAGATGATAATAATCATTGCATTTGATGCAGTACCTGATCATGTCTTTGAATTGTCTTAAAGCGCTTCACAGGATTTATTATAAAGCAGAGTGTGTGCATTTTGTGGGCAAATGGATGAATTGTCATGAATTAGAATTTAGGAAATTTAGAATATCTGCAGGAAAATGAGAAACATAATATTAAAATTATATTCAGAGTTGTTTTTAAATAACACTTGTGTTTTCAGGAGAAGTGCAGAATTTTGTGTGTGATCAAATGAAAATGACACTGCTTGTTCATTAGAACATGTTTATGACTTGGATAAGGAACATCTATGATCCACCCACAATCAGCAGGCGAGCATTCAGCCATTCTACCCAGCTCTCTGGAACTCCATCCTGGAGTCCTTCTGACTCCCTCCCTCCCCTCATTCAAGCACTTCTCAAGAAGTACCTCCTGGACCACATTTTCAGTCATCTCTCCCCTCCTCACCCTTCTCGGATCCCACCCTCAGCTCTGATGCCTGACCAGCAGTGGCCTTGACACATCCTTCTGACATGAAAGGCACTGTATAAATGTAAAGTGTACTGTGTATTGTATGAAATATTGATTCAACAACAACAACAAAATTACATTTGTAGAGCGTCTTTCACGTCGGCAGGACATCCCAAAGCGCTGAACAGTCAGGTGTCGGGGCCCGAGCATGGGGGAGGGGTGGTGTAGGGGTGAAGGAAGACAGAGAGGTGGGAGGGAGACCAAAGGCACAGTCGAAGAGAAGGGTCTTGAGACCGGCCTTGAAGGATGTGAGGGACGAAGCGAGCGAAGGGACCGTGGGATGGTGTTCCAGAGTGTAGGGGCAGAGAGGCTGAAAGCCCGGCCACCGATGGTAGGGCGGGTCGGGCGGGACACATGGAGTAGGCCGAAGCCTAATGAACGGAGGGAGCGGGCAGGTTGGTAGGGAGTCAGCAGGTCAGAGAGGTAGGATGGGGCAAGGCCATGGATGGCCATTAAAGGTGAGGACGAGGATCTTGAACTCGATCCTCTGGGGGATTGGGAGCCAATGGAGTTGGGTGAGGGTGGGAATGATGGGGTCGCGGAGCCTGGTGCGTGAGAAAACATGAGCTGTAGAGTTTTGGATGATCTGCAGCTTGTGAAGGGAAGAGTTGGGAAGGCCGATGAGGAGGGAGTTTCTGTAATCGAGCCTTGAGGTGATGAATGCGTGGGTGAGGGTTTTGGCAGCCTGAGGGGTGAGGCAGTGGCGGAGTCTGGCAATGTTGTGGAGGTGGTAGTAGGCAGTGCCAGTCATGGACCGAATGTGGGGAAAAAAGGACAGTTCAGGGTCAAACAAGACACCCAGATCCCTGACTGGCTTAGTGAGGTTGAGTGTGCAACCATGGAGGCTGATGCTGCCAGCGCCTGAGGTGCAGAGGCGTTGGCGCAAGCCAATCAGGAGGGCCTCAGTCTTGCTAATGTTGAGTTGGAGAAAGTTGTCCCTCGTCCAGGACTTGATGTCGAACAGGCAGTCGGTCAGGACCTCAGTAGTCCTGGAGTTCAGGGTGGAGGCAGAGAGGTAGAGTTGGGTGTCATCCGCATACATGTGGAAATTTACTCCATGTCTGCGGATGACGTCACCAAGGGGGAGCACGTAGAGGGTGAAGAGGAGAGGACAGAGGACAACATGTTTGGCAACATAACCTTTCTTGTTTGCCATGTTGGAAAGGAAAGAGACATTTGTGTAATTAAAACCCAGAGTGTTCATGTTCATTGAAAACAAACAAGATGTTAATGTCAGCTTGCAAATGGAAATGGGAAAATTCATAAACATATCCTAATGAATAAGTTGTGTAATTTTCATTTGAACTGTATTCTTGAAAATAACATTGTTAATGCTTTGCTTTTTTATGGCATTTATCAAAGTACAGTAGCACAATGAAGAATTGTACACAAAGTTTTTTTTCTTGAACTAAAGATTTATATCATCCTAGCAAAACATAGTTTTTTTTTATGTTTCAGCATGTGATAGCAAACATTGGGGCCCTCATTGTAACAACCGCTGTCAGTGCAAGAATGGAGCTTTGTGTAATCCTATCACTGGAGCATGCATTTGCACACCTGGCTACAAAGGCTGGCGATGTGAGGAGATCTGTGACCCAGGCACATATGGAAATGGATGCCATTTAAAATGTCAGTGTCAAAATGGGGCAACCTGTGACCACATGACCGGCGAATGCAAATGCCCTCCGGGATACACTGGCGCATTGTAAGTATAAGAGTTCAACTGCGTGTTACTGTAGCCTTGCCTTTTGTTGGGAAGCAGAGGGCCATTAGTAACAATTACAGAAAGACAGTGTGTACATCAAATCCCTAATCTATTTCCATGAGTGAAAGAAGGCGATTCCAGGTTATGATTGTTTTTATTTGTACCCTTGCTTACTTGCGTGAAGAGAATTATATAAATCAGCTCAGTGCATTCCAGAAGGAACATTAGTTTAATGATTCATATTGAAACATGCTCTGAACTAACATGGTCTGCTCCTCTTCGACCATTTGGCCACCCTCCTACTCTTATTCTCCCTGGCCTCCACACCTTCTCATATCAACCCCTGCTCAGGTCCAAATCCCTTACTGTCCAGCGCCTTGGGATGTCCTCCCGACGTGAAAGGCGCTATACAAATATAATTTATTGTTGTTTATAAGCGATGCTTTAGCCAAGAGCTGTATCCCATTCAACTCAGTTTGGTTGAGTCCTGAGCTTAGCACCAGACAATTCTTGGTCCATCGGTGTTTACGTAACCCTTCACACTTTCAAAGGTGAATGCCTTTCTTTCAAAGAATGCCATAGAACGTCTTATACTAATCTTCTTGGGGTTGTGGGGGGATCTTGCTGAGGATGAACAGGTTGAAGGGGGGGTCAAGCCTATCAAAACACACAGGCTGGTATTCACTAATCAAACTGACGGTGACCCAGCGTGTCCAGCTCATAAGTGGGACTTGGAGGTGCAGAAATGTCATCAACCCTGTGAACCCAGGCCCAAATAGGAGGGTGATAGATAAGTACCACACTGTGTGGTTACCATTTCTTTATAGCCAGCACATCTAATCAGCATCATCTGCAGTCCTCAGGCATGGCTCAGTAGAGTGGAAACAGATAGAATTCATTTTGTACCTGACCATAGCACAATCATAACGCTCTGAACAATTTGGTCACTTTAGATTGAGGTCTTGAAATACCGTGATATAGACATTATATTCAGCTGTGATCTATTGCACATTCTTTGCATTTTTCAATTTTTATTTTTGTTCATTTTCAACAGAATGCAATGTTGTTTATTTTATCTTTATATATCTATTTATATCTTAGTGATTTTTGACTACAAAAATAGCTGGATTCCAGGTTGTACGTGAGGCCACGGGAAGTAACCTTACAATCTGGATTTCAGCTTTTTTTTATAGTTTAACATCATATAAAATATGAAAACAAAAATTTATGTTTAACACTGGAATTCATCTTCCTCAATTTGGAAAAAATGGGAAAACCTGACAAGTAATGATTTTATTCTGAAATTCCCCATTTATAAATTACTGAGGAATGATCATGATTTAAAGGCTGAAGTCAACTTCTGGACAGTCATTTTACAAATCAAAAGCTGATTTCCTTGGGGTTATTATTGTCCCCGTGGCTTCATGTAGCAAATTTGTTGATTGGAGGCTACCTTACCATTCTGTTCTGTTCGCTAAGTTTCTCAAATTTGTTCCCGTCTGATTTGAAATGCAATTGTAACTTATACATAACATTTCATTATGAATGTAATCTAATTTCCAAATGTAAAATTGCATCAAATGTATTCCAAAAGTGTAGAGGGACAAATCTGGGTAAGTAACGTGAATGTTGCAGAACAGTAGTAAGGCAACATTGACAAATTCACCACCTACAGCACACAGCGAAGAAAAACTTGGATTGAGAAAAGTATTCTGAGTCCATGTTGAATAGGTAGAGCCACGGTAGCTAAATGTCTCATTTACTCGTTAATATTCGCTATATCTTCTTGTTTCAGCTGTGAGGATCTGTGCCCGCCCGGCAAACATGGCACACAGTGTGAAGAGCGATGTCCTTGCCAGAATGGAGGAATATGTCACCACGTCACAGGAGAATGCTCTTGCCCAGCTGGGTGGATGGTAATATGCAGCAAAAAAACAGAGCTTTACGATACAGTGGACACCTCTTAAGAGGAACGCGTTCTGGCAAAACATTCTCCATATCTTTATGCTCATTGAACTATATTCACTAAGCTTTTATGCTAATATGACCTAACTCACTTCACAGAATATATTGTAAAGTGGATTGACTGTATTTTGTGGGCGAAACGCAGCAGCTAAATTGCGCACAGCAGGGTCCCATAAACAATTGTGGATTGAGTGACCAAATTTTTTTGGAAAGGATTAGTAACCCCTGGAGAGTGATCGGCAATCGATCAGCAGCCTGGTTCCTACTAATGCTAGGTAAACAGTGGCGTGTGGAGTAAGGAAACTTGCTAAGGTTTCGCCCTGCCAGGGAATTGAACCCGGGTCCTCTCGTCTGCGTTAACCACCATGATAGGGGATTCCATGACCTGTGTGCATTCTGTTACAGGGAATGGTTTGTGGTCAACCTTGTTCTGAAGGAAAATACGGAGTCAACTGCACCAAAGAATGCCAGTGCCACAATGGAGGACAATGTAACTCAGCCACTGGCTATTGCCAGTGTGCAGCTGGCTACACAGGGGAGAGGTAAGAAAGCTATCAATATTGTAAATAGAGGTGGCAGTTGATTTCATTAAATGCTGTATTGTTGGAGGTGCTATCGTTTGGATGAAACGTTAAACCGATGTCCCAAATGCCTGTTCAGTGGATGTTAAAGATCCCATGGTACTATTCGAACTGAGAAGGGAGTTTCTCCCAGTGTCCTTGCAAACAGTGCCCCCAAATAAAATTGATCATTTACTTGGTGGCTGTTTTGGGATTTTGTTGTGTGCTGCCAAGTTTGCCCACAAAAACATAATCACTAAATTTTACAGTAATTCGTATGAAGCGCTTTGTGACGTCCCCTTGACATGAAAGGCGCTCTACCAACTGCAAGGATTATTATTAAATTATTGCCTTTAGTCATGTGATCAGAATGTTGCACTGTTTATTGTCATCACAAATGCTGTGACGTCTGAGGTTGAATTTTATCTGGCTCGACTGTATCTGGTACAGGATATTAATTCCCATTTCCTTTGATGCATCCAGTGTTGCCAAGTTTCTCACTCCTGAAAAAAATATTAAATTGCTCATTCCTATTCATTTACGTATACTTCATCTTTCTCCCCTTTTTCTATCCTCCAGTTCATGATAATTAATAGTAATGTTTAACCTTTGAATGAATAAAAATAAAGGGTCTGTGGCTTTTAAAACACAAAAAAGTAGCATCTTGTGATATACATGATGCCCCAGTTATTTATGGCTACAGCAATAAAGCTTTGATACTCCAAATCCAAAAATGCTTTTCATTTTTCAGATCTTTGATGTAGAAACTGCATTCCACAAACACTCTGAGAATAATGTGATACTTTTTTTTAAAAAAAATCTTCTGACTGTAAGGAATGGGCTTTATTTAGCTTAACTTGTATGAAATCCCAATTTAAAAAATCTCTTGACTAGAAGAAGTTGGAATGTAACCAATAAATGTGATTGCTGCACAAGGTGCAAACACAATCCACACATTCTTTTTAAGCCAGTTCTCAGCCTTTAAATTAGTAAGACCACTCGTGATATTTAGTCAGAGCAACAAAAAACAACCTCAACTTATTTGCTTTTCTTCCTATGAGTATTAATTAGTGTTTTTTTGTGCAGAAAGCAGATGTTAGACAAACGTTTGAGTCTATTTAGTTCCAGATGGCAACCGCAAAGTAGAGATTGGAAGGGAAATGACTGGATTATTTAAAGAAATACTTTACAGTGTAATGTCCCATTTAATGCTTCAGGAATATTTATGTTTTTGCAGCTGATAAAATATTATGGTACAACTATTCACACAGAATCATCAAAGCTCGTAAACAGGCCATTCAGCACATTGTGTCCGTGCTGATGTCTTTCTTCCTAGAAGTCAGTGAAATTTTCCTTCTCTCCAAGTGTCTATCTGATTTTATGGAATCTGCTTCAACGAGGATGAGATCAAATGTTCCAAAGAGCCTTCTTCATCCAATCTAATCTTGTGAACTGTGGTTTGTGGCAGAGATTTCCACATTCCAGCCATCCTCCGTGTATAGACTTTGTTTGCCACTATCCCCTTTAATTCTTCTTGTGATTATCTTAAATTTGTACTCTCATGTTGCTGATGCTCTGACAACGACAACAACTTGCATTTATATAGCGCAGGATAGCGTCCCAGAGCGCTTACCCTGATCACTGTAACTACTCAATTACAATGTTCACTGTCGTAGTTCTTTATAATTTTGAAGACCTCCGTCAGGTCACCCCTTGGCTTCAGTGAAATAATGCCCTGACTTCTGAAATCTTCCTCTTAATTGAATTCACTTGTCTCTGGTAGCATCCCGGTTCCATTATTTACTGTATGTTAATCATGACTATCCTGTACTGGAATAGCTCTGTTTCTGAGCTGTGTGTGAATGAACTTGTCGGCTTTTCATTTTGTCTGCATGAAAATCCTTCCGAAAAGCAGAGTGACTCTTAGTGAAAGCAAAACAAACACATTTGTCAGGTGACTTTTACATAATTACATGCATTGACAGTGTGTATGTGTTTGTTTTTTTGTTGCAAAACGTTCCCTATAAATGAAGTATCATCATATACTATACTCTCATTAACTAGCATCAAATGTTCCATGGTAAATGCTTAACGCATCTGCTTTCACCTTTTGATTCTCCACATGCAAGGAAGCTCAATTGAACCTTCAGTCATGAAGCCATTCTCTTTATTACTCACCTTGACCAGTGGGTAACTTACAATTTGAATGTCCAAGGAAGGTAATAAGGAAAATTACTTACCAATATAATGTATCCAATGAACAGGATAATAACATCCTGTTAATTTCAAATTAATGTTTAATGTTTGAAGTGAAAAAAATCTCTTCTATCTTCTCACCCATCATTCAGTTTCTTCCCTTATTCTTGAAGACGCTGAGAGGCACAGTTCAATGGTGTTGTCTGCTGTCTGGTACCTTGTCCAAGTAGGGTCTTTTCATGTGTGAGAAGGCACATCTCCAGGGTGTACAGCTGCAGAGAGCATCACAGGCGTGATTGGGCATCCTGTCTTTATTCAATGTCTCTCACTCATACACGCATACACACGCACGCACCACATACGCAAACACACATACTTTTCAGCAAGAATTTCTACATTACAACTTGGAATTCGAAAACTAACAAATTTCCTCTTCCTCTTCTCCCCACCACACCACCCGAAAAACAAAACCCTTAAGTCAAGGGTTTCTTTGACCAAATGTAGGATTGAAATTCCATTTTATGCATATAGCTACCTTAAAGGGGTCTGGACAGTGCTGCCGTGTTTATATTTGTGTCATAACTTTAACTCAAGGAAACTGTGGTCTGTCCATGTTGCTTCCAGAACTAGCAGCAGCACCATAGCCAATTGAAAGCTGTTTTGCAATTGATACTCTGGAGACCAACTAACAAGCATTAAAAAATGTCCGACTATCAACAGCTGCTTAAGTCTGCTATCCAATATATTATAGTAATAATATAGTAATAATTCTTGAAACAAAAACAGAGATTGCTGGGAGCACTCAGCAGGTTAGGCAGCATCTATGGAGAAAGGAAAGTGAGTCAATATTTCCGATCCATGACCCTTCCTCAGAACTGGTTTGAATAATACTTGGTTTGATATAGCACCTTAGCACGTCATGAGACATCTGTTTCAATGGATGAGACATCCAATCAACTGGCATGCCTTCTCCTGACTATTTTCCAGAGACTCCGACTGCTATTTGCGCACATATGAATGTTGGGTGAAGACAGCATTGAGCTTAGTTGTGAATGACTTGCCAGCATTCACTGTCGAGGCTCACACATGAATAATGGCAAGATAGTGGTGGATGTGGAATCTTGTTATAATGTACTTCATTATAATATAACATTTCACCAGAGTTTTACCAGGCCTAAAAGTGTTAAGTTACGAGGAAAGGCTGTGTAAACTTGGATTGTATTCCCTTGAGTTTAGAAGGTTGAGGGGTGATTTGACTGAGGTATTTAAAATAATAAAGGCATTTGATAGGGTAGATACAGAGAAGCGATTTCCTCTGGTGGGGAAATCCAAAACAAGGGGGCACAGTCTTAAAATTTGAACCAGGCCAATTAAGAGTGAAATCAGGAAGCATTTTTTCACTCAAAGGGTGGTAGAAATCTGGAATTCTCTCCCCAAAAAGACCGTAGATGCTGGATCAATTCGCACCTTCAAGAGTGAGGTTGATAGATTTTTGGTAGGCCCGGGTATTAAGGGATATGGGGAGAAAGCGGGAAATTGTAATTGAAAGGTTTAGTTGAGGTACAGATCAGCCATGTTCTAATTAAATGGCGGAACAGGCTCAAAGGGCTGAATGGTCTCCTCCTGTTCCTATGTTCCTATTATGATGTTTATTTATTAGGGTGCAAATCCCTACATTTACTTACCAAAAAATAAAAAAATATGAACAAACATGCCAGCCTGCTTTTTGTATGATAAAAATAGACAATTTCTGGGTATCTGGAAACCACCACCAATATCATTTTTGTGCAGAAGTAAAATTGGGCATTCACTTATGGCTGTTGATGGATCATTGCTGTGTGCAAAATTGAATTGGCTGCTCGTTCACCAAAAAATACACTAAACTTATCTTTACATCCTTATCTGAGACGTCCTCCTGACATGAAAGGCACTATATCAAATGTAAGGATTATTATCTTTTTTACATTGAGAGTAACCTGATGACAAGTAGTGGGCTATTTTGGCTTTTCTCGTATTAGCCGGTGTTTTAAAGTGAGACGGTTTCTGTGTGTAAATAAAGTCAATGCAGAAGCACTGACCCAACTAATTCACCCGGTTACATCGCTGGTTTGGATTTTGTGGTTCCTCAATTATCATGTTGTGATGGCCCTTTTACTGTAGAAAGAAAAAAAAGGCAAAAGTATGCTTGTATTCGATACGGCACTTACAATGTTGAAACGTCTCAATGTGCTTCCCAGATAACTGCTGTCAAGTTCAGAGGCTGTGATTTCAGGGCAAAGACCCTATGTGGTTTGTAGACAGTTCATCCTTCAAACAGCCAATAAGTAAATGATTAATTGATTCAGATTTTTAGCCAGGGGACTGAGAGAATCTCCCATGAGTTTTTGAAACCTTTTCTGGGATCTTTAATTCTTTAATATTGTAGGACCTTGGTTTAACATCCTGTTAAAAAAAAATTCCTTTCCACAGGACTATACTGGAACGTCAGCTAAACTATTGAAATCAATCTCCTGATGTGGGGCTTGAACCCACAAACTTCTGACCCAGAGGTGTGAGTGCTATCAATTGAACAAAGCTACCTTCAAGAAAGGGGGATGGTTGGGAAAACATTCAAGGATATAAAATTTGGTGACAATGTAATGTGCCCCCAAATAAAAATGTTTCTAGTTGTCATAAAAGATTTACTGGGCTCATAATCTCAGTAACAGTAATTTCAGGACAAGGTGAGGAGCAATAGAAATATGTACCTGATCCACACAGTTCCAATGAAGATAAATAACAAAATA